GGGCTCACGTCTGTCCTCCTGCAGCCCTTTGACATGTTCCTCAGTGAGGAACTCCTTGGACTTCTTCATGAAGCTTCATCTGTGAACGCTGCACCTGGAAAACTCTTGATGTGACTTTATCGGCTTTAACCATCTTGTGAGCAGCAGCAACATGCAGCTCTCTCTCAGGGATGGACCCCAACAGCAGCTACCTGGGCTCTTTGGACCTGACTAGAGATCTACTGCATCAGCTGTTCTACCTTTATAGTGGATTAGAACGTGATAGAACATGGTGGGAACCAGCAGGAACATCTGGAATGAGATAGAAGCTGCATTTTCTCAAAGACTGACAAGGTCTCTTTTGTAAAAATGCAAAAAACCAAACAGAGTTTAAATCATTAACATCTCCAACACAACGCCGTGCTGTGTTTTGTTTCTGGTTCATTTCCAGCCAGAAGAAATTCTGTTGGTCCAATAAAGTTTCACTGTAAATCAAAAGTTGGCTAAAAAAAAAAAAAGTCAGTTTGTAAATATGAAAGAAAAGCACCAGAGTTCATTTCTGAAGCATGAATGATGCTTTAATGTGTTTTTAATTCCACCAATCAGAGTTTATTGAAATGTCTTTTCTAAAACGGACGAATCTTTATGAGTCTTTAATTTCTGTCGATTCAAAATTCCTCAAACACTCCATCACTAAATTCTGTTCAATATACACAAACAAGAATACATTTTCCAAAAAATAGCATTTCTTGGAAAAAGGTAAATTCCTTTAAAAAATATTGTTCTTAAAATGCAGATCCACTGATCATACGCTGTTCGTAGCAGTTAATAGATGTGAAGGAAAGTCTTTCAGGTTTCATCAGTTCATGTGTTGCTCTGCAGACGTTTGTTGTTCCACCGAGTAAAGTCCGACTGAGCTGCATCGGTACCGGCTGCTGCTCTTTCGTGAACAGAACCGTCACTGAATGTCTGATTGCAGCAGTTGTCTTTGTGGTGCGTTCAGGGTCCTCTTCGGCTCCGTCAGACGGCAGCCGTGGCGGTTGTCAGTTTGAGGGCGTCCGACAGGTTTCGTTGTCTGACTCTGGAGCTGCTGATGGTTTCCAGATGGGACTTTGGCACCCATCCGCGGTGCCGGTCGGACAGTCTGGTTCCCTCGACCCAGTCTGAGGAGAAGAGAGACACAAAGGAGCTGAGAGACGTTTTAAACCAATGCAGCAGCATCAGACACTGAACAGGTGAAACGAACGTTCTGCCAGAGAACGGAGGACAAAGTGGCTTGATGGTCTTACTGTCGCTGCTTTGCTGGTGCACCAGAACAACGTCCGCTTTTTCTAAGGACAGCTCATCCGGTTGCTGGGCAACGAACGCTCGGATACACTGCATCTGTTCAAAATCTGCACAGAAAATAAAGGAAGAAGGTGAAACTCAGAGTCACGAGAACCGGAGGTGATAAATTCCTCCTTCAAACACAGACAGCAGGTATTTCCACTGGTGTTGCCTCCTCAGACGGTTTCTCTGAATAAACTCAACCTCCTGTTTTCTTCTGGATGTTTTCAGGTTCGATCTTTGTCTTTAAATATCAGCAGAGTGCATTGATTTCATGTAATTCACATCATACGGACCCCCACCATCCGCCTGATCAGCTGGAAACACTTGTGTGGATGTGCAAAGTGTTTAAGATATCTGTCATTTACAGAAAACCAAGTCCATCTGATTATTAGCAGCAACGTCAGCACAGTAGCGCTCCGTCGTCGTGTGCAGGACATCCAGTTCCTTTATCTGGGATCCAGATTGTAAACAGTCACAAAGGTGAGCACAAGCTGCTGTGTCTCTACATGTGGTGACGAGGCAGGAATCAGCGTCTCAATCAGCAGTTCAGGGAGAAGTTACTCATCAGACTGAGCTCAGTGACTGATTCTGCATTTTTTTCCACATTTTAAAAACTGTGTTAGACTTTTGAGGTAAATCATGAACGCTTTCTGCAATCCAGATTGTGGAGATGTGTGTGTTGTTTACCCTGTAGACCTCTTTACTCCAGGTAAACCTGACACCACAGGCCACACCTGCACTGGGTTGACCTACTTTACTGCATTTTTGAAGGAAGAACCTCCAGAATGATCAACAGCTTCATTCCAGCAGCTGTCAGAACNATCCTGTTTTGTTCAGTTTAGTGTCACAGAGGAGGAAAGAAACTTGATTTTTTTCTTACATTTAAGAAGCTGCAATTTATACGGTTTTTAATAAAAACTAAACTAAGCTGTAATTTGATCGTAGTAGTTCTTCGACGAACCCCAAAACATTTGCCAATCTATTGTCAACACAATGTGCACTACAGCAGATTAACAGGCTGCAACTTTTTTCTGCTGCTTGATGTGAAAAGAAAACTCTCGTGGTTCACATTTTCCATGAAGAGACGCCAGTCTGGTAGAACATCATGTACTCTGACTGAAGGCTTTTATTTATAACTTTATTTCTAATAGTTTGTTGGCTCCACATGTGCAGCAACTTTGTCTGTACAGAAATATTTCCCTACAGAAAGCATGATGATTAATGAAAGCAGGTTTTCTGTCAGTTTCATCATTTGCTCTGTGTTCTGGATGTTCTAGTCAGAGATGAAGTCCCTTTTAAAACCACTCTGATCATTATAAATTAATAAATTCTGTCCAATCAGAGTTACTGGAGTCATATTTAGGAAACTCGTCCAATCTCGCGCATCCCTACAAAGAATCCAGACTTTTAAACTAGTTGACGATCTATTTGAGGTCAACAGCTGCAGGAGCCCCAAAGCCTTCTGCTTGTTTACATCAGCTGTGGGCGGAGCAAACAGTAAACAGCGCTGTCAGTGCCAAATAAACAAACATCCACACGCCGTGAATTTCACGTCCCGGTCAGTCGGAACCAGAAAAATCCGGCTGATGTGCCGTTAATCGGACCGTGGAGTCACGATGACAACAGTTTCTGGGCTCATCGCTACCGAGGCCACGTCATGTCTACAGCAGCAGCGGCACCGTGATCCGTTAAAATCCCCTTTAAATACTCCTAAAGGCCAGAAAACAACCGAGACACACACAAGAACCGCTGGATTTCATTAAGTGCCACCGCTACGACATTTAAACCGTGTTTTCTACAAACGAAACGAGCGGTTTAAGGCGCTACCTAGCAGCAGTACAATGCTAACGGCTAACGGGTCAACAACACCGCTCACATACCTTTGAATAAGACAAAAAATAAGGTTCACTGAGAACAGGTCGGATACAGATTTACTCCGCTGGTCCCTTCTCTCGTCAAGTGTAGTCAGAAAAATGCCCCGGCAGGATGTGCTTGAAGCTCAGCAAACTGTCATAACGGACGGGAATGTGATCGCCTTCAAAGATGTCGACTGGTCTACTTCTTCTGCCCAGCGAAAACAACAACAAACCCGGAGATGCCCCGCCCTCCACAGAAACGGACCAATCGCAGACGACCATTCAGATTGAGGCCGTGATAATCCAATGGGAAGAATGCATGGGTGGGTTTGCGCCGCGTTCATTGGCCGAGCCTTGCTGTCGTTCAGCAGCTGTGACGCCCCATTTTTCTTGAGTGACGGTACAGATAACCAATAGCAGGGCTTGAAAGCTGAGCCGGGTGGCCTTGTGGTCCCGCCCACGGCCACGCCCCGGCCTGGCTACGTGCGCAGCGTGCATGACATAGTTGAGTGTTCTGTAAACAGCTGAGGCACAGACAGCCAGTTATTCTGGTTCAGACCCAGATTATTACTAATGTACACGTACAGCGGGTTTTTATTCCACTAGCAGGTTTCTTCTGGGTGGAAATGACTTAAACACGTGACAAGAAAGGTTACATTTTGAACTATTCAATAAAATCAGTCCATCAGCTGTTCTAGTGTCCAGCAGTGTTTCTGGGATTTGGTTCCTCCAAGTGTCCATCTGCAGCTCCTGGAGCTTGAAGGCTTCCTCTCCATCACTCTGCTCTTGGGTTCCTCCACAGGTTCTGGATGGATTCAGGTCTGGACTCTGGCTGGGCCGCTCCAACATCTCCTCATTGTTTCCTCTTCAGCGTTTCTTCACCACTGTGGCTGCATGTTTCACATCATCGTCTTGTTGAAGCTCCACTGCTGCCCAAGGAGCAGAGTTCCTGCAGACCTCCTGATGTTCTCCTCTGTTCTCATGAAGCCGGTTCCTCTGACCAGGCTGTCTGGTCCATCGGCTCAACAGCAGCCCAAAGCATCACGTTCCACCACCATGTTGGACCGTGGGGATGCTGCTCTTGGCCTTGGATGCTTCTCCTTTCTCTGTG